GGGGGGGGGGAATAGCATTATTTTTTTACAAATATCATAAGAACAGACCATCATAAATAAAAATATGTTAAACTACATTTAAAAATTGCATTTAAACCAGGGGTTGGCAATCTTTTTCTGCGAAGGGGCCAGAGGCCAGTCCACTGCTGCTATTTCCTCTCCTTCTCCATGTCACAGCTCCATCTTGCAAGCACTCGGTGGGGGGGCTTGTTGCCCCACCCATTCCCAGATGGCTGGTGAAGCTATCATCAAAGTGGCCACCTGAGGGGGTGGCAAATGCTTTCACCCTCTTTTTTGCAGGCCATGTAAATATTTTTGGGACCATGGGCCAGATGATTTTGGGTGGTAAGCCATGGGCTGTAGGTTGCAACCCCTGATTTAAACCATTATCAAAGTTCTCACTAGAGGCACAAATGACCAGGCTCAAATTAGCCTACTTTGGACAAATTATGCAAAGACCTAGCTCTAATGTTGGGCTCTAATGCTGGGAAAGGTGGAAGGAAAGAGAAGAGGATGACCAGCAGCAAGCTGGTTGGACTCAGTTACAATGGTGATGGGTGTATTGTTGAAAGACCAAGTTAGGGCCAGATCATGGAGAAAATCTATCTATGTGGTTGCTAAGAGTCGACACTGACTTGATGGCACATAATCAACTTAAAAAAAACCCTATATAATGAAACTATATGAAAGTGATGTCTAAAATAATAATAATAATAATAGTTATTATTATTATTTACTAAATTTATATGCTGCCTGACTCCCAGTAACTCTGGGTAGTTTAATAATAATTTATTAAATTTATATGTTGCCCAATTCTTTCTTTCTGAAGTGACAAATGATGATGGAAAAAGGATACATGGTGGTAGAAGAGGTACAAGGAAACAGCCATACTTACCTGTTCATGTAATGTTGGGTTTAATTCATGAAATATGCATTTAAAGGAAATAAATAACTCTACATTTAAATGAGGAACTAGGCTTTTCATGGCTCACCCTATCTGTCAAGATCAATATGATTAAGTTTGTAGTACAGGTAGTCATCGGGTTAAGAATGCCTGGTTTACAGATGACCCGTAGTTAAGAATGGAGCCTACTGTAGCAAAATTCCAGTTAAATACACAATGATTTGAGTTAAATACACAATGATTTGAGTTAATAACCCTAATTATGCAATAGTACTTATACATACTACACAATAATACTGTTCCGGTTTACATATAAATTCAACTTAAGGAGAGACCTTGAGAACAGAACTCGTTCTTAAACTGGGGATTATCTGTATTCACATTCCCTGCATATTAAAGCATTTAATATATTGTGTTACAGCTGAATTATGCCAATAATAGGTAACATCTGCTAAATTTCTAGGATCTGTCTGTCTGCAGGTACAGTGATCTTTTATTTTCTTATGATCAGAAGGAGTCTGGTAGCACCTTTTCCAACTAACATATTTTATTAAAAGGCATAAGCTTTTGTGAACTACAGCTCATTTCATCAGACACAATGGAGTGGCCATGGTGTTATAAGATTTAAACTGGGATTTAAATAGGGTAGGAGGAAAAGGAGGGAAAGACAGATTAATTATACAGATGCAGGTTACATGTGGACACCTTACAAAGTACCTTATTAATTAGCAATTGTAATCTATTAAAATACATATGTTTGTTGAGACCTTCAGACATAGTCTGAAACATTTTGATGAATGTGAATTCAGCAAACTCTTGCTCATTTATGCTAGCAAACTTTCTTTTTTTCAACATGTTTATTTTGACTGGACAGTTAAAGTACTCTGATATTCTTTGTCCCTGATGTCAACTTGTGTCCATTCATCTGTGTAAAGTCTGTCCCATCTGTCTTATACAAAATCCAGAGGGACATAACTGGCAGATGACACATATATCAGATTATAGGAAGAACATGTGAAGATGGCTCTAATCCTGTATGTGAAATTGTTGGGGCCTGTGATGATGTTGGGGACAAAGCAGACATCTAGGATTCTATGCAAGACACTCAGATCAAACCCTAACCCTAATCCCCCAAGCACAAGTACATATAAGTATAAAAAACAAAAATTAAAGTAAATGTTAGTATTATGTGCCTGCAACCCTACATCCAATCAAAGAGTGCCCTTCTATGAAGAACAATTAGGTCTTTAAGGCTTTCCTGCAGTCTAGGATGGGTGAGGCAGATCAAAGTTCTTTTCAGAAGGACTTCCAAACAGTAGGGGTAGCCACTAAGAATGCCTGCTTCCAATCATGTGACTATTCCAAAAGAACAGGATCTGAAGTGCCAAAGGGATCAGGCACGAACAATGAAATCATGCAAAATTTCACAAACTTACAAGCTTTAATTTTTTAAAATAAAATAAAATTAACTTTAATTTTAGGGATCCCACAATTGCTATCTGGGGTCACTCCAGATAACATGCCAATTGTAGGCTTTGCATTGTCTATCCTTCCAGAAGGCAGTGAACATCAGCTACATTATTCTTTTAAGCCATTACATTACCTTCGCACTTTTGAGTTGCTTCATTCTGTTTATGACCAGCAGGGCATTTGCATTCATATGATCCAACTGTATTGATGCAATTTCCACCCTGACAGATTCCAGGGATAGCCTGACATTCATCTACATCTGTAAATAAAATAAGACAAGACTCTAAAAATTTATTTTCCATTGTTCTTCAAAATAAGTCTTATTTGATTGCAAATACTACCTATGTGGAGGAGTTTCCTGCTGATGACAATTAGAATACAGAATTCATACAGAAATTTCTTTGAAGGTCAATAGAAGATTTCTAAGATTTCTATAAATCTTAGAAAACATATACTTGCAAGTGTTTTTTTAGAGTTTTCAAAAATGCTATTTGTTTTCATTTATAAACTTCTGTGCATATGCATCCTGAGATGTATTTTTGAACAAAAAGAGTTTGGAACATCTAGTATCTCAGTGAATGCCAAACTTTAGCTTTAAATAAAATTGCAGGAAGTGTTTATATGTTTTATTGAAACTCTACTGAATTTATTTAAAATAATTCAGCCTCCATAATGTATAATTTAGATAAAAATTGAGATAAAGCCATGTTCATATCCTGTTTTCTTAAGAGTCTAGGCTGTTTGAGATGCTTCAGGGTAAATTAATAAAATTAATATCCTTCCTAAGTAGAGGACTTTATACATGGAGATGGTCTACAGTGGAATTATCTGAAAAAGTTCAGTGTCTCTTCAATAAGTGTGTTAGTATTTTGTCATATAGTAGTTGCAACAGTGATAATTTGATGAACATTCTCTCCACCATTAAATATCTGGAAATATGGCTACCAAGGTTTTCAGAAATGTCAGTAATACTGGTAATTTAGTATATTAACAATCAACCCATCGAGCACCTATGAACAGCCTCATCTTATTCTATTGTGTCTGAAAAATGAATGCAGTTTCACATATTGTACGTCTTGTCAAAGTTGCTATAGCGCAGTGTGCTAGTAACAATACCATATTGGACCATTGCTTCCTTATACTGATTTCTGTTGTTTTGTAAAACGACAAACTGGAAACAAGATAAAATCATGAGCAAATATATTCTTGTTCTATGATTCCAATCACACATGCATGTTTATCATTCAAAGACTGACAAATTGTAAGATGATTTACATGTATGAATAAACATCAAACAGTAAATGCACAAACAGAATTTTCCTGTCACCTTCAAAGTGAATGTTTTAATGGATGGAAAATCATTGAGATACTTACTAGCAACATTTCAGGAGAAATAATCAGTTTAAAACAGCATTAATTAACAAAATGGCAAGAAGCCAAGTAATGTATTGTCGAAGGCTTTCACAGCTAGAATACGATGGCTGGGGTGTGGGTCTTCCGGGCTGTGTGGCCGTGTTCTGGAAGTTTTGTTTCCTAACATTTCGCCAGCACCTGTGACCGGCACCTTCAGAGTGCAGGAGCACAGACAGGAGCAGGGGCACAGAGAGAACTGCTCCTGTCTGTGCTCCCGCACTCTGAAGATGCCGGTCACAGATGCTGGCGAAACATTAGGAAACAAAACTTCCAGAACACGGCCACACAGCCCGGAAGACCCACACCAGCCAAGCCAAGTGATGTTTGTGAATTTAAAACACTATAAAATACGATACAGCCAAACTTGATCCTATCTGAAGCATAGTATTCATAATAATTTCAATATTTCCAATAACCTTTTTCTTTTCATTTCTTAGCTGCAATGTTCTGTTTTGGACTCATGCTTCAATGGGCACTTAATAGATGTAGTTACTGAGTATAAGTACATGCTTTATCTGCCAGTGTTGCTGTTCAATGCAGCCAAGTGTGTCAGGAAAGCACTAGCTAGTACTAACAATTTACAGATGTTGTTAAGTAGCAAATTAATGTGCAAACAGCAATATATGAATTCTCTAGTGACAATTACTTTACAAAGAGGTCTCTGTTTGACTCCCTCACAAGAAGCTGTTACACAGTTCAATGAAATGAAGTTATTAAATAATTAAAAGGAATTCTGGTACTCACAAGAAACAAAAATATGCTAAGTTTCCCTTTTTCCCTGAAATAAAAATATTTTTGCATTGAAGAAATGTTAATGATTCTCAGTCTCTGACCAAATTATAAAAATAAAAAATTGTTTTTCTAAATGAGGAAAGGCAATGACTTGCATTATGTTAAGTCTGCTCTACTGAAAACAGATCAGGAAATTAAAAAAAATAGTTTTGCTATATTATGACCTGAAGTTAGAGAACCTCTTAATAGTCATGTAGATAAATTAGCTCTAAAATATATCTGGGCATATCAGAATGATGTACTCGCAACAGCAGTGACAGAAGAATATTACCAGAAAATATAAATGAAAAATCATATCTGCTCTTGCAGATTTGATCAAGCAGAATCTTTATCTCATCTCCTTCTATAGTCCTCTTATTAAATCTATTCTTATTGTCTCTCCACTACCTGAACTCCTAGGCAACACTAACAACTTTTATCTAATATCAGATAGTTCATCATACGTTGCCAAAAGCTGTGCTACAGTTTCCTATCTTCAAAGGTTAACAATTGTTCAGTGCCAAATACAGAAGAATTGTGGCCTTTTTTCTTTAATTCTTACTTTATTCTTTCTACTTTATCTATTTCCTTTTAAGGACTGAATGTTACACTTTTGATAGTGCTAATCTTGTGATGGTTATAGAAGGAAATGAAATATTTTCCATTGGTACAAGTACAGGTAGTCCTTTGGTTACAATGGCAATTGGGACCGGGATTGCAATCGCTAAGTGATGTGGTTGTAAAGCACAATGTCACATGACTGCATTGCTTAGCAACAACAATCCCAGGCAGTCCCGGTTACCATTGGAACCCCAAGATGTGCAGGCATTAAGCAGGAAGAGGCAGGAGTCCCAAGTAAAGAATGTGGGGTGCCAAGGGAGGGGTGGCCAGGGAAGGCCAGCACAGGCTGTGTGCGAGTCAGAAGAGACTGGGGGAGGGCCTGGGAGGGCTGGCACAGGGGCAATTAGACTTCAGCTTCTTCTGCTATCTTCTAGAAATGTCATGTTTCCTTCCATTGTATCTTATACCACTTCACTAATCTTCCTAACTCAATATTCTCTATAACGATTGGAAGTGTGTTTCCAGGGTTTCAGGCATATTCTCAATTGCTATATACAAGCTTTCACCAAACAAAGAAAAAATTTGGCCTTTGATCATGGCTTGTCAGGGACTGGATCTCAGACTAATTATAGCCTAAGTACCAGTATATCCATTTTATGATCAACCTGCGAAGTATGGCATTCTGTTCCTGTATATATTCCTATATGATAATATCAGCTCAACACATGTAATTACTAGATTTAGTTTTCCCTAAAGTACTCTGGTGGACAGAATCCTTACATTTTCTATAATCAGACTATTAGCAAAGCTAGAGAAACTAGCTTTAGGAATCTGACAGATAAAAGATTAGAATAATGATGATTAATAATGTATTTCTTAATTAAATAAAAAATGATTGATATAACTGAAAAGAGAAGGCATTACTGAAGGCCTCATTATTTCAGCAACATGGGCTATTATAGATTTTAGGAAATGAAATTTAAGAATGTGCATCATGAAAAATACACAAAAATGAAAGCTAAGTCAGGTACTGAATGCAATTCTTGAAAAACTATTGGAGAAAGGAAGTATACATTTTAGTAAGCAGAAATAAATGTCAGTGAGTAATTACTCTTTAGGATTCAGGTTGCATATAATTATTATAGATATGATACCCTGTTATGAAGCCTGATCCCTCCCTTCTTCCTTCATGGTATGTCTATTTCCATAAAGATACAACCCAAAGAAACTTAGAAAAAGCTTCTAGAGGCAGCTGAAAGGGCTAATCAAATTATCCTATATTTGAAAGAAATACAGTATAGACAATATAAAAATAGAGGTACTGAACATTTTATGGTTCTGTTTCTAAGGACAGCTCCCAATAAACAAACTAACATAAACATTTAATCCGTTAATGTATTTTAGAATACAAACTTGGAGTTTTCTCTCAAAAATATAATTTTCCTGCAAACAAAACGGCAAAACTAATTAAGTTTAGCTTCCAATGGGTGCACTTTTCAAAATACTTTTACTTCTTTCTCATGTCTGAATGTTTAGGTCTGTTGGGTCTCGCTGCCTGAAGCATTTGAGGCGTAAAACTGCATTATACAAATAAGGGGTTTTTGTGTTGCTCTCTTCCTCTGTACCCCCATCACCAGATCCAACTGGAAACTGCTGAAATCAGTAAAAATTTGGTGTCACCCCTTTTTATACATACGGAGTCTTTAAAATCATTTTACCATTTGTACTGACTTCTTTCTTTGTAGATTTAAACATGTTTCCAGTTCTCCTTCCCAATTTGTTGAGCACAGTCTCTTTGTTCAATGACTCATTAACCTTGTAACATTTTTAATAGCAGTGATGGTGGTGATATTTTAAAGTGAAAGAATGCTGTGCAGTCATTCAGAATCCTTACAGAAACTACAAATAATTGTTTTTTTCTTATTAGGAGCTTCATTTATATTAAATTGTACAGTAGTAGCAGTCTTAAAGAATAAATAAAAATAGCTTGTCAAAGCAAAGCAAAATAATGTGTTTGCCATATTTTATATAAGGTCTGACATACTGCTAGTTAAGTCTGCCAAACTTTATGCCATCTTGTAACAGCGTCAATGGTGCGCTTAACAGGTTTACTGTCTCTGGGATCCTACTGATTTATCCTTTTCCTGAAATGATAACATTGTTCATTGGTAGTAGGCATTGTTTACTTTATAAACACAGTAGACATTTGTCCCCATTTATTAAGAGGTCCTTAAAAAGTAGCTGTTATATTTAGACATGTTCCTCAGAGGGACATGTGGTAATATCTGTCTCATATTTTTTAGCCCCATTAAGGCATATTTATTTTTTTTATTTATTATTAAATTTATATGCCACCCATCTCTCCCAGAGGATGACTCTGGGAGGCTATATATAATTATTATTTATATATAAAATAATAATAATCAAGGAGCTGTGATTGTGTAGTAAATGTTCACCAAGGAATCATCCTTTAGTTTAGTATCATTTGCTCAGCTAACTTACTTTCAAATCAAAGAGCATATGAACTATATAAAAGGGAAATATAATACATGGAAAACTGATTATGAGTAGTAGTGTACAAAATGCTTCTAGTTCAAACTGCTTAAAATTTAGAGCTTGAAACATATCCAAAATGATTGAGACAGCCTTTTTTAAATGCAAAAAGTTGTTTCAAACTCAAAACAATAGTTAAAACCTGAAATGAACCATTTGAATTTGAAACATTTTGCACATCTCTAATAATAAATATACAAGAATACTGCACAAGTCTATAATGCAGAAATTAAAACTATCTTAATTAACAAATGCACAGTACAGTTCTTTTTGCTTCATATTTTCTTTGTAGTATGTGAATCTAATTTCATTCTTTCCCAAGCACGTTAATTTCATTATAACATCAGTGCAACCTAATAAATACTTGACACTTAAACAAATATTTGTTATTTTAAACTTATAGTAAACAGTATACAAAGGAACAAATCTCATCTGGCTTGAATAATTTGTTCTAAGATATTTCACAGCAGGGAAATTTCTAATGTCAGTAAACTATTTTGGCTTACCTTGACATGCTCCAGTGCGGATGTTTGGGATAAAACCACGACGACATGGTTGGGGTTGAGCAGGGCACATTTCACAAGGATGGCCCCATGCACGTCCAATAGTTGCACAACAAAGAGTCTTCGTGCAAACAATACCAGCTAGCTGGCCTTGACACATCTGGTTGCTGACTTGAATAAAACAAGGGCCTGTCCTATAATCTGGAAATTAAAAGGAAACATTTTAAGGCATGGGCAGTGGTCTTCCATCCCATATGTTTAAACACAGGAATCTTTCAATCTAGTTCAGATATCTGATGCAATAATCTGTTCCCCATTAATGCTCATGTCCCAATAAACCAGTGATCTCTAAGGTCCAAGGACATGAATTTTTTATATTTTCCTTTTAAGCACCAAAAAATTAAAAGAAACTCTAGTCTTAGTGTACTTTGTCTATCTTTTCAATTAACAGAAGGACTTAATACAAATCTCCACTATAAAATACCCTGCTATCATAAGAGGCATCATACAACTTACAGTATGCCAAATTTCAGAACATTGCTTTTTTAACAAAAAAACCCAACCTCCCACAACCCAACCTCCCACAAGAGCAGCTGTGTAAGAACATTATTCAAATGAGCACAAACGCACTGCAGTAACCCAGAGCAGCAGAAAAAAAGAAACAGACCACCTATACAACATCTTCCAACAAAATGGATATCCATGCAACTTTATCA